CAGCAATAATAACCTTCAGTTGGGCGGCAGAAACTGGGGATCCTATCACTTTTCTAGCAAATTGCAGCATTTTGGATGACTTGCTTCCAGAGTGATATGCTTACTCTTGCAGCATGCCTATTTATCAGGTAATTCCTGGGGAGGTTGTCCAGGCTCTCTTTCTAGCTTGTAAGAGTGGTAATTTTGACTTGGCAGACAAGGAAGTGAGTAATTTGATAGCCGAAGGATATCCAGCTTCTCAGATGCTTTCTCAGGTCTCACGATACTGCATTATTACCAGTTTTGTTAATTATGGTTAGTGCTAAATGCTAATTTAGATGCTTTTTTTTTTTCAGTTGTATGACGTGGTTGTTGAGGCGGATAATATATCAGATGAGCAGAAAGCAAGGATATGCAAGAAATTTGCTGAAGCAGATAAGGTAGCTATTCTCAATTATTTTTACTTAGTGCAGGCGCTTTGCACCTGTTGCTTTCTGGGTTGTATTTATTTATTTTGACATTTATGCTACTTTACTGTGATTCAAGATTTGAAATTTATGAGCCCTTTATCAAGTTATTGGATGTCCCATTGTGTTTCTGGAGTCTGAGTTGGGACTTACATGTAAACATATACTAGCTAGCTCTCAAGTATTTCCAGTTATCATTATTTTAAAATAGGTCCTGGACAGGATGAGCCGATAAATGGCTCTAGAATTTTTGTTCTTAAATGTGGAAAAATCACATGTTATTTCATCCTTTTCTTGGCATGTTTCAGAGGAAGTTTAAGTTACAGTAAAACTTTATTATTTACGCTACTGTGGCATTTGCAGTGTCTTATAGATGGAGCGGATGAGTATTTGCAGCTGTTGGATGTGGCAAGCAATACGATGCGTGCACTTTGCAACATGCCACAAGATTTTTCCTCGGGGTGATAGGTAGCTCTGTGCCTGTTCATGTGGAAAGCAAACCTTTCTTTTTTCTTTTGTTTTTTTTTTTTTTTGTTTTTGATACATGTCCATACGTGCTTGGCATTTGTTGTTTCTTGTTTAAGATGGATCTGTTATATGCTTAATGCAACTCATAGGTTTGGCATATAATCCATGTGGGGAGAGCTCTGCTAGTATTCGTTGCAAAATTTGTCGAGAATATTCCCAACCAACTATTATCTATTTCCTTTCTTTAGACTTGCCATGACTTTATTTTGTAGTACAAGTTTATCCTGTGTCAATTTTCTAAAAAGGCGTTGAGAGTCTACTTATTAAATGGTAAGTGGAATATGGATCTTGCCCTTTTCTCGGCCTCCTATTTCTCACAGGGATGGAGCTTTGGTCTCCGGTAGGGAATGACAAGATACCCTGTCCCTTTCTACCCTGCCCCTGGTGGGACGGGAATCCCTGCTCCGTTAGAGAATTGGAGCAGGGACGGGGAAGATGATTCCTGACTCGTGCATGCCTTGAATTTTTTGAACTCGCTTTGAATCTTTTCATTTTATTTTTATGTTTTAAAATTTTAATTTTATTTAAAAATAATATTTAATAAAATAAATAAGAAAATGAGATGGTAAATGAGGGTATTTTTATCTCCATCCTACTAGAGTAAAATGTTTCATTACTCTCCCAACTTAAATATGGTTACGCTTACTCATCAAAATTCAAGCTTCTTTTCATTGATCACTTATTTTTGAGAAGTTGAACTTCATCTAGGGCTGAACATGGTCCGGTTCGATTCGGTTTTGAAGAGAATCGAACCGAACCAAAATTTTTGAGTATTTGATAAATGGAACCGTCGGGTCTAAATATAATTATAGAACCGTTCGGGTTCGGTTCCGTTCCGTACCAACGATTACATTTTTTAACAGATTTTTAATCGTTAACGATTGGTGGTTGTGATTGGAGGTCACGACTTCGATGGACAATTAGAGAGGGGAAGTCGGACTCAGCAATCGATGGCTTCGATTTGGGCATGTAGATATAGGTTTTCAATTTATCAAATGATTTGGGGTCGTGACTCAGTGGTTATCGAATGAAAGTGTGAAATTGGAAAGAGTTAAAAAGGCCTAGATCTTGGGTTAAGAATGAAATTAATAATTGAGTCAAAAAATTGAATTTAGAAATTGGGTTGGGATGGGGTTAAGGTTGGACATAGTCCAATTCGGTTCGGTTCTGAAGAGAACCAAATCAAAATTTTTAGGTATTTAATAAATAGAACCGTCGGGTCCAAATATAATTTTGGAACCGTTAGGATTCGGTTTCTTACCATAATTAAATTTTTTTAACATTTACAGCAACACTACATAAATACAACTAATGACATGTTCATTCATAGCTTCGATAGGCAGTTGGAGAAGGGAAGTCGGAGTCGGCAGTCAACGGCTTCGATTTGGGCATATAGATATAGGTTTTCAATTTATCAAATGATTTTAGGTCATTAATTCAGTGGTTATCGGATAAAAGTGTGAAATTGGAAAGAGAAGAATAAAAACTTAAAAGGGCCTAGATTTTGGGCTAAGAATGAAATAAATAATATGACCAAAAAATTAAATCAAAAAATTGAATTTAGAAATTGGGTTGGGCTAGCTAGGCATGGACTTGGCTTGAGAGTTAGGACATTAATCACTAAATTAGTTAATTTGCTAATTTGTTTAAAAAATTAAAAAAATGAATTAATTCAATATAAAAAATTTAAAAATATTATTTAACTTCGATTTTGGGTCTAGAATCGAGAACCAAACCAGACCCGTCGATTCTCGATTCAAATACCCGTTCGGGTATTTAATTTATGAAGAACCGCTCGATTCGGTTCAATTCGATTCGGTTCGGGAGTTTTGTCCAATCCTAGTAGTAAGAAACTACAAATTGTGATTGTGTACTACATCAGAATGTCACTCAAATCTCCATGATCCTTGTCTCATACTTGGCCAACTTTTGCACTCTTTGGTCCACCTTTGAAGGATATATTGAGTTGGCTATTGTAAAATTTGTTTGATTATGAAATATGCCAACGTATGTCCACATGGAATTCCTTCACATTCAAATCGTTGACAACTACAACATACAATATTTAAAAACTTATTATAATCAAGATTTTGACATCTTGATGATGAAGATTCATCAACACACTATAAAATCACACTAGCCTAATCTTCAAATAAGGTATTTATGATGTAGGCTAGACTCTTAAATATTTGGCGAAGTCAGTCCTTAGCTTCCAATTTAGTTGACTTTAGCATATTAATCCAACTAGTTTGAACTCTTCACTACCTCTGTGTTTAAAATGATACTTCTCATCAAATGGTAGTTGTCCCAATAAATTATTGGATTAAGATTTTCAGTATTGAATATGTAATATATATTAACGATAAAACCTATTCGAAAGAATTTGTGCAATTGATCTAGTCATTGCAAGATCTTGGTCCGTGTTGTGCGTAGTATAAAAAAACAACAACATCACCTAAGAAGGTATATGCTCTCATCAGCCTAAAAACGCCTAACTATTCTATCATCACCGTCTTTATCAAAATCAAAGTAAGAAACCTCGTTGTTTTTCCTTCTAAAGCAAGTGTCTCTAGCAACGACTTAATATTAAAATTCCCTTCTTGTCTGCTTTCAGATTTCTTTCATAATTCTAATGTCATTTTCTTTATGCTAGTTATAGTTTTTATTTCTAGATTTTCTATTCGTTATGATTACACTAGATTCATGAACTCCGATGATGATGTTAACCAATGTCGACTGAAACGATAACCATTGATCTTGATGACAATTTAGTAAAAGCGAGATGAGAGAAGGCAAAAACTCGTAAGCCAATTTCTAAATGTTGAAAACATTTCAAGAAAAGTAAGACCGTTGAGAATGTAGAGTAGATTACGGGAGCATATTGTAATTACTGGGAAAACGACTTCACTTGTAAATAAAAAATTGGCACTACCTAGTAAAGCATACATTATGAAAAATTCCTAGTTCGTATTCAGATCGTTGACAGTAGGAAGGCTCACCTTCAATTTGATTCAAGCAAAAATGTACCTTTTGGAGCATTTCTTGCAATCTGGGTTTATAGTCCAGAAACACGCGGGAAGGCATGGTAATATTCTTAGACAATGTCGAGTCGTTGCTATCCACGGTAGAAAGTGTGCATTTGACGAAATTTATACGAACATATTTCAACCAAGATTCAAACCTACTAGTAGAGCTACAGTATGTAATGACGCTCTAAATTTATACGGTATTAGAAAAGGACAAATTATTGACATTTTAAGAAATTATAACGGTGTCATTTCATTTACTTCGTGGTTCTAAAAAAAAAAAAACCATAAAATTATATATTTGTGTCACAGCCCATTATGATGATGAGTTTTGGATCATGTATAAGAAAATGAACATGAACAAATCCTCATGCACAAATGATTTGTTCACAGGGGCCTTACAGGCCTCTCACAAGAGGCCGGGCCCCACATGTATTAAAAAAAATGTGCGGACCCTATCATGTGTGTTGTATGTACAATATCTGTAAAAAAATTTCTGTACACCAATGGGGGTTCTAAGAAAATACTGCATTAAAGGTCATTAAATATCCACACGGTGCATAAAATTAAATAAAAAATGTTTTAACAGAAGTACTCGAGGTTTTTTTTTTATATAATTATGAATATATAAAGTCACTAATGTTATTGAATACTGATTAACACTAATGTTTTTTACATTACGAATATATTTTTTTAATGTTAATGTTAACACTAATGTCATTGAAAATTGAATAACCAATTCCACTCAAATTTTGATTTGAAGCTTTTTTCAAGTGTATTGCGTTTGTCATATTTTAAATTGATTGTGCAAGATAACCTTAGTATATTGTACCATATTTGATAAAAATTAGACACACTATTGTTTTTATTTTTGTCTCTTGGTTTTATTAAACAAGCATTTGCTAGTGTATATGCAGATTCTAACATACTCAACTTATGTTTGCAATCGATATATGTAACATGTGGAACCTATTTAAGTAGGACTACTGCATTAAGTTCATCATCTTCTCATTTTCTTTTCTAGTATTAGCTCCACATGAAATGAAATCCATGTTGAGTTAGATATATATTTTTCATAGAATATTCTTAGTGCACTAAATGGAGAAGAGACAAATAATTTTGATTTTCTTGGATGGTGGTGAACAAATGAAAAATAATATTCAATATTATATTTGATGGCACATAATCTACTAACGCTTCAAGTGTCAAATGTAGCATCATATTCCATGTTGCATGTGATAGGGATTCCTCATATGAAAGAAGCAAATTGAAAGAACATTGTTTGATACTCTAGTGTACTTGAAGGATATAAGATGCAGACTATTAAATACAATACAAGATGACCAATGCAATTGTTGAAGATTTTCAACAATTTTTAGATTATTGTACATTGACGTTTCATTTGTTTTTTAAATAAAAAACTATACACAAAATTTTCGTTCGTGTACAATTTTTACTCTACATAAGTATTGTAGCTAGTTCCAAAGTCCAATAAAGGAGGAAGATTTTTACAACTTTATAGTTTTTTGGATAAAATGATTTTTTTTTTATATGTTAACCATTATATTACAAATTTACATCTTCATTATATTTCGGGAAGTAAAAATGCAATTTTAGTTGAAAAAAGATGAGTCACAAATGAATCTCGGAAACGATGATGCTCGTGCTCGGCTCCCCAAATAATTAAAATACTCATTTTATTTATCAATACAATAATTTAAGTTAAAAGAAAAGAGAAGCTTTTCTTGTTTCCATCATTCTCTCTCAAGTCCCAACCTTTTTGATTTTGATTCAACTTCACTCAAACAGAATTTGACTCCTTTCTTTTCAAAGTTCATTTAGTTTTCAATGTCAAATTGAACGATATTTTAATGTTTATGTAGTTATTTATTCAACACTAAAACAGAAAAAGAAAAATGGAGGAGAATATTTGTGTTGAATCAATGCATCAATCAGCTCAAGAAGATGATAAAAATAAAACCCATCACCATTTTAATCAGGTGAAGCTTTCTACTTACTGTCTATGTGGATGTTTTTGTTTAATTAGCTTGTATGTATAGTTATTGGTTGTGTGTGTTCTTCAGTAAAATTAATTGATTCTCTTTTTGGATTTCTGGGCAGGAAATTAATGTGCATTTCTAATAATTCGAAGACTCGAACAACTGATCATTATTTTTTATGAAGTTTCCATTTGCAAATTATAATTTTATTTTCCAATGAATTTACAGAAATACACTCATGATCTGATGCCCTTTAGGGAAAAAAAACTATAATGAATAATATAAATATGTATTGAGGTCAGAATTTGATGTATTTGCTGTAGTTTTAATTGTGATTGGTGTACTCTGTGCTGTTCGGCGAGATCAGAGAAAATGAGAGAGCAGCAGCTAAGAAGGGTTTCACTATTTAAAACACATTCAATAAAAAGGACAGTAATTTTCTTTACACAAAAAGGGCTTTTTAGATTGAATCAACAGTGACATGAATTATTTATTGTCAGTGTCTTTATTGGTGTAAATTTAAAATAAATTGGAGGAGAAAAAGTAACAAATGCTACATCAGCTGAAATATACAATTTCCAAAATCTCGAATTTTGCGAAATCTATGTCTTGTAACAGATTGTAATCACTTAGTTCGTTAAGAAATGTTCAGGACTATTTACAGTAATTCGTGGCTGCAGCTTTTTATTTTGTTCAAGTAGATTATTTTAGTATTAGCGTTCTATTTCACAAACAACTCCCATGAAGAGACTGGTTTCTGGATTTTCTTCTTGCAGGCTCAAATGTGACCAGTGATTATATTTGAATTCTTGGTTGTATTAATAAATATGAAATAAAATTTCACCGTCTATAATAGTTTTTTTTTATTTGATGGCCATTTAATATGAAGTCAGAGTATGTAAGTTCATTGCTACCTATGATGATAATTGGACTCAGTGGACGTTTGGGAAAAAAAAAGCGTAGTGTGTATGTGAGGGAGTATGAAGACGACATGGTTTAGTTACATGGTGGTCATTCAAAAAGTTGTTTTTTTCACTTCGTGTCTTGTAATCCTTTTTATTTATTACAAGATTATGATACATCCGAATGTATTTTGATCTTGCACATGTATGTTGTTAGAATGAAGAAAGAGAAGAAGTCACCTTAATGCAGCAGAATACAAGACGACCCAACCTTTCATCTTTGGAAATACCTGTGCGGTCTCTGGAGAGTACATTGTATGATTTTGCTAGAATAGATATTCCAAGTCCTACTTCTACCAAAGCAGGATTGCCCCCTAGACCAAACTCTGCAAAATTGATTTCATCTGTTAAAAATTTGCTTCCCCAAAAGAGTTTCAGGGGTAAACACCCAATTCAGGATGGTGAGAAGACAGTGTTCATTATCCCAGATACACGAATATCAGACAAACCTTCAACTTCAAGGTCATTTTCTCTAAACAAATTTTTATTCTCTTCATCAACAAAAACTCATTCTTTACCTGTGACACCAATGTCAAATGTTGGACTTAAGCCCTCAGAGGAAAATAATGTGGATGGCCATTCTAAACTACCTGTAAGTCTATTTCCTTAAAATTGGTTACTAACAACATGAAGTGTACTTAAGATTTCTGCTCATTTATTGTATTTTGACCTTTCCTACTAAATTTTGTTTCCCAACAGAAATATGAAGTTCGACGGCATATGACGCGCTCGTTTTCAGTTCCTGTAAATGTTAGAACCAGAAGCTTAAGGCAGACAGATTCATCTGGAGGTTTGATACGTGTAATATCAGCAGTCCATCGGTCTACAACAAATGACAATGCCTCACTAGATATATCCCAAGAAACGGAAGGTGGTAAAAATCTGCATATATTTGTGACTTTTATGAATGTAGAATCCATATTTAGTGAACGTGGTTAGACATATTAGCAATGGAAAGCACTGAAAATTAAATTCCAAATCACTACCTTGCTCTTTTTCATGAAACAATCACTTCATTCAGCTACCTCAACCCTGAAACCCCTTCCTAATGTATGATCTATCTATTTATACCTCTTATTTTTTTATTATTTCTCTTTATTTTGTTGACTTATTTATAATGTTACCTACATACAGCCCAGGATGATGCTGGTGAAGACATTCCAGAAGAAGAAGCTGTGTGCAGAATTTGTTTTATCGAGCTTGGTGAAGGAGGTGAAACACTCAAGATGGAGTGCAGCTGCAAAGGAGATCTTGCACTTGCACACAAGGAGTGTGCCATGAAGTGGTTTAGCATCAAAGGTAACAAAATCTGTGATGTTTGTAAGCAGGATGTCCGTAACCTTCCTGTCACATTATTGAAGATTCAAAATCCTCCAACTGTTGTAAGAAGGTCTGCAGATGTACCTCAACAGAGGGAAATGACTCGTTACAGGCAAGTTAAGACAATACATGCATTTGTTTTGTCATTTTTAGCCTTTCTTCCTTGACTAGTATTCTGGCAATCCCCTAATATTTGGCTATGAGCAAAAGAATTGTTTAATATTTCTTGCATTTGATTTGAAAATGGTGCTTTGAGTAATGTATATGATATTTACATATCTTAAGGCTCTAGAGCTTTGTGACAACACTTCATTTTCCAGTAAATAGTTTTGTACAATAAATAGGCAGGGAAGTGGAGGGAAAGAAGTTGAAAATTCACAAATTTTAGTAATAAAACAAATCGATAAAGTAGTCCGCTCACAATCCATCCCCTATCATGACCATCAAATGGGAGACCTTTATTTCTTCATCTGTTTGTCTTGTCTTTCTATTACTCACTATCCTCCAACATTTTTTAGGTCAGAACTTGTTAAGTCATTTTACATTTCTTTCAGAGCAATCCTTAATGTGTCTCAAAATAGAAGCCTAAGGGCTAAGGGCATAAGCTCTCCTGAACTAGCAACCCTGCAAAATTTAATGGTGGAGGTCCAGCTCTATGTTTTCCAAAAGTTAAGTCGAATTACTTCAACTGTGGGCAATAAATTCTGCTACAGCTATATAATCACCAACCCTAGCTCCGTGCACCATACTTAAAGTTTTAGGATTAAATGAAATAAAATAATACTTAGTGAAATATAATCTCACAAGTGATATTATGGTATCTGAACAAGGTGTGGAGCTTTATGAAATTTGATTTGAAGAAACTTCAAGAAAAATCAATCACTTCCTGAATAATGGATATACTTGCTCTGGTGAATCAACTCTCTTTTGGTTGTTTGATGATCAAATTGTATTGTGTTAACTTTTGTCTTTGTAAACTGAATTCTCTCATATTATTATGAGATTCTCTCAAATGTGATATAACCCAGTTTTTGTTTGGTAGCATCCTGCCATAATGATTTAACAATATTGAAAATATCTTTTTATGACAATTGATCTTATTTCCCTTCCTCTCAAAGCATACCATTGCCGTGAGATTAGAAGACTACAAAGTTATTATCATTAAGCTGGTATTTAGGACCCGTTACCAATTAACAGGAGATATCCAAATCTACAATCAGCATCCCTAAAACTCAAAACAAATCAAAATTAGACGGTTCTTTCTTCTGTGACTTTAGTCAAATGTGGAAGGTTGTGGTTTCAGAAGTGTTTATCAGTAGATTTATCTGAATCCCACTTGAATCGATGCCATTTGTTTTTATTCATTAATGGTGGAAATTTACAGTGCCCTAGTATAATATGACCAATATTTCAATGCTTCCTGGACCTTTACGTCAATCCGTTGTATTTTTGTCCATGCAGTGGTAATTATGAATTCCTTAAATCCAATGTCCACTTCTGGACTTCAGTTTATATTTTTTTCATTGATGGCAGGGTCTGGCAAGATGTTCCTGTTCTTGTAATGGTCAGCGTGCTCACCTATTTCTGCTTTCTGGAGCAGCTTTTGGTAATTTTGTAGCTTCTCATTTTTCACGTCTGTTTGTGCATGTGTGTTTATGTACTCCGGGTGTCTGGCGTGTCTCCTGTTTCAATGCATCACTTACTGAAACTTTTCTTTTCTTTTTTATTTGCCCTTTATGCTTCTCTTGTCTGCATATAGATATTCTTGATCCCTTATAAGCTGAAAGAGAATATAATCTTTATCGGTTTCAAGACATTACGTTTAGTTATGGTGAATAAATGAACAGAAGGCAAAATATTTTCCTACTGGATTTAATCTAGTGTAGGAGATTGTTATCCGAACCTTCCCTTCTGATACTGTCAAGTTCGCATGACACTAGAATTTTGAATGTAATTAGTAGGCAGATAATAACAGCCACTTCCATCTAAAAGAGATACAAAATCTTCTTAGTTTTCATGAGATATTACTGTAAAGTATGAATATGTGAAAGGCAAATTCCCATGAGATGTCATCTCTTGAAATTTTCGGGTTTGCATGATATATTAGAATTTTTTTACCGTAACTCATACGCTGATACAGTATTATTTTAGTGCCTCACTAGCCTTGTGAAAAAGTGAAGACCAAAGAAAAACTTGCACGCCATCACTTCGTAATACAGCAAGAGGGAAAGGCTTGCTAATACAGAGGACTAAAAGAGGTAATAGAGATTCCAGTGTAGATGCAGCATGCTAAGCAATGGAGATTGTATATCTGTAAAAAAGGAAGGGGAACTTATAATAGCATAGACTATAGGCCATAGGTGTCAACTAGATAGATGGAACTTGTACTGATGATCATACCCTGACATAATCTCCCAGCTTCCTTTTTGCTAAGCGTACTCCATTCATTCTCTTCCTGCCCAAAGAGTATTTCTTTGTCGTTTATTCCACACTATCTGTAACGACTCGTGTCTTTATTCCCAAGTCGTTAACTTACGTACTGTCTGCTTTGGATGGACATATGTTCACTTATTCATTCATGACTCTCTATTGTGCCCCTCAGGATTCGAACTCAAAATCTTTGCTTAATGAGAGATTTAAGTTGAATCCTGGTACCAATTGGTTAACGATCCAAAACTTACCCTTTGAATCATTAAATATGTATTGTAAAATAAAAAATTAACTTTCATAAAAATATAGCGCTTTTGTCCTAATTACAATAATTGAAAACGAAGAATAACTAAATCATAAAAGTAAAATAATAAATTATTTAATAATATCTTTATTATACCACTTGAGACTAGTTCCAAACTCCAATCCCTCGAACCTCAATTACCTAAAAGGGAGGGGAAATCATAAATAATGAGATAAAATTCCAAAAATTGAGCTACATAAATCGTAACATACTTAAAATTTAGAAATTTTTAACATATATCGGGAGATACAAGGATTAGAAACCGAATTTCGGTGGCCATAATCCCCTTACATAATCATAACATATATAGGGAGACACGAGAATTAAGAATGGTATTTTTGTTGCTATAATTCTCGTGCGTAGCGTTATTGAACTCCGGTCCATTAAACTTAAACATATAGGACCCATATCATATTCATAAATCGAATTTTAAAGTTGAAAAACGATTTAACATACAACGTATGACTACTCTTACTTTGATAATTTGAAGATAGTCGTAGTAAATACGTAGAGAAAATTTTAACTTTTTTAACAAAGCAATAAGTTGTTTGTATACGTGAGTGTGATTTGCGTGTAATATTTATATGTGCATTTAGGAATACCATTAATATATATATATATATAGAAATTTACTTAATGTTCACAATCAATCATAATCATATATAATTATATACATATATAGATATATGTAATTATAGTAATCATATAATTTAAATCAATAAATCATAACTATATGCATATAGACACACGTAATTATCGTAATTATATATATAGAAAAATAATTCTTCTTCATTCACGCCAATTTCCTTAAATTTGTTTTTAATTAGAAACAGAAATTATGCTAATTTTCATAATATTTTCCTTAATTAATTTTAAATTGTTTTAAATTAAAATAATTGACATATATATCCATACCCATAGAGGAAAATTTATTATTTTTCTATAATCATTCCTTGAATATCCCATTTAACCATGGTTAGAGTAGCACATATATGGTAAAAGTTACCAAGGAAGGAATTTTCTTAATTGATCTTTCACTTATATGGTATTTACGTATTCTCTATTAAAATCATTTCCATAAATAAATCTATAGTTTAGGAAATTGCACGTGTAGTTCCTCAACTATTGGTCAATATGTAATTTTTTCCTCTAACTTTCATCCTCTTACACAAATGTCTTAATTTCATAATTAATGACTATAAAGGATTTTGGGAGATATTACACTATCTTTTCCACATATTCTTCGTAATTACTTTCCTTTTCATACCTGGGCATATAAATAAATATTCTTATTTCTAGCATTTCTAAACAATGTTGTGGCTAAGAATTGTAGTGTATGCATCTCACTGTTAAATTTGATACATGCTTGTCACTGTCCTTAGTGTTTTAAACTGAAACAGGTTTCCAACATGGGACCTAGGGCTCTTTCCATCTCATTGCCTTTCTCTTGTGTTTTGGGGCTTCTCTCATCCATGATAGCTTCTACTATGGGTAAGATTTAATGGATTGCTCTCATTTCCTGTGCTCATTTACTAAGTGCAGTATTTGTCATTCTTTTTGACTTTTTACCTTTTATAAATAAGATATTTTCTTATGATAAATCCCATTATTTAATTTATCTGATGGAATACCATAAAGCATCATGCATTTGGAATGCACATGATGTGTAAGAGCAAATTGAGAATCTTTCCCTGTGAATTTAGAAATCGTAGATCTTGTGGAAAATGTCCATGGAATATGTAATAGAAAAATTTGTGCCTATGAAATTCTAAAGATAATAGACATTCCACAGGATAAACTTATTATCAAATGACTCGGCCTTTATGCCCAAACCGTTAACTTATGTACTGTCAACTCTGGGAGAGTTTGAGCCCATCTTACCCTTCACGAATTTCTATCATGTCCCCCGAAATTCGAATCCAAGACCTATAGCTTATGAGAGACTTAAATTGAATCCGGGTACAAATGAGATGCGCTAGGTTTATGAAAACACGTGGTGTAAGTTTCATGTTCAAACTCTGAAAGGATAATCAGCAGGTTTCCTTAAGCTCAGAGGCAACATGCATTTTCCTTAGTAGAAGAAACATAGTCACTGACTTAGCTTGACAAAATTGCACCTCCATTGTAGCTTATATATGAAGAGACTGGGAAACTTTTACCTGCATCCTTCAATTCTTCAAATTCCTGAAGGGTTGATGTAAACAGACTTTAAAAACATTAAAATGAAGTTTCCTACATTGGGATTCATGTGGATTCTGCCTGTTAAAAATAGTAACTTTTTATTTTTTAATTTTTAAAATAAAGAGGATAGGCCTAATGTTTCAAAACGGAGTCATAATTTGATCGAGATAACAAAGTTGTGGATTGTATCCTAAGGTGTATGTGCATGTTTATTAGCCAAAATTGTCTTGGTTTATCAACTTAATATTATCTTATAAACAAAAAAAGTCATAATTTGATCGTGTTAACAAAGTTGTGGATTGTATCCAAAGGTGTATGTGCATGTTTATTAGCCAAATTTGTCTTGGTTTATCAACTTAATATAATCTTATCAACAAAAATTGTTCAAGCCTGAACTCTGATTATTGATTAAATTCGTGTGAGTGCTATTTTAACTTCAATATTCGAGTACAATTTTGGATAAGTTGTTCTCTGAAATTGTTTATTTCTGGGGCTTGCTTTAATTTTTTGGTGTTTTTTACATAAACATAGAACTGCAAGAGTTGTATGAAATAAAAATATATACGTCAAAACGGCAACTGATCTTGAAAAGCCAAAATCTTCACTAGATGATCCCGAAGTCAAATTATTTCTTAATAGTCAAACTCTACCTCTATTTGTTATTTTCTCGAGTATATATCTCTGCTTTTCTTCTTGTTATTACCATTTTAAAGACCAGTGTCTGGATTAAGAACTAGAATGACTTATCTCATTGTTCACACTCGACAGTGAGCAAGAGTTACTTGTGGGCTTACGCGTCGTTTCAGTTTGCAATAGTGATCCTATTTGCTCATATATTTTATTCTGTGGTACGTAAAACTTCCTATTTCTGTGATCTGTTTCATTTTCTGTTTTGTATTTTCTTTTTATCTTTCGGGATATGTTTTTCAAATTTAATCTAATTTTATATTCGGAATCATACTATGCAGCTCAACGTAAATGCTATTCTGTCCGTGTTGCTTTCTTCTTTCACTGGGTTTGGAATTGCGATCAGCACTAATTCACTTCTTGTGGAGTATTTGCGATGGAAAGCAAGTCGTCATCCACAGGCTTCCCAACCACATATGAATGGCGGTGTCCAACTGCACCATCAACATCAGCAAAGACGCCAACGCCACCCGCCTCCCCAAAATCATCATCAACATAATTGACGTCAAAATAATCAAGAGCAATAAACATAGTTCATCTGTTGGATTAGTTGAAACCAAATATAAATATCAATGTTTAGGTGTTTTGTGTTGTAGCATCTGTTATATATCCTTCTTGAAGTTTGAAGGGGTGAATATGACAGCAATTTTTGAGATTTATCTCACCCCTATTAATATTAATGATAGTTTTAATATTTATTCCATGTTTGTTTCGGATTAAAATCAGATTTTAATCTAAGTCAAAGTTAAAGTCAAACAATCAATATTAACTACAATATTTCATAGGTCCTACAGCTTTTCAATCGCACATTTCAAAAATTTCTATTACAATATACTAAAAATTTAATTTTAATTCCCACCAAACATCCTCTTAATACATATATTCTCAATTCAAATTTATCCAAGAGAACATTTCAGGGGATAACAATCCAAGTGTACATTGAACTTGGCAAAAAGTTTCCACAAGATTTCGATCGAGTTACTGAACTATAAAAATCATCATTAAACTTTGCAATATTAAATATTTTCAATCGTTGACTGGACATTCATTCAAAAAATTGATGGGATGTGACAGACGAAATTGCATACATGGCACGTTGTTTCAAGTTCAACTAGTGGATGCTAAATCTGTTGTACAATGCTACGGAAAAGTGTTATTCCTAACACACGTTTATTTAAAAAAGAAATAATCAAATTAAGTAACCAGTCTCCCGTCTATCGTTACAAATAGAAGAAATCCCCAATTCTTCTGCTCGAAACCCTCACGAAGAACCCTAATTCCCAAATCCAAACACCGAATCGAAATTCCAGTATCCCAAACCAAAATTTCAGTTGAACAAAGCCCAACCTCACGTCTAGCAATATGGAATCATTCAATTCGAAATTGATTATACCTAGAATCTCCCTGCTTAAACCACGGTCGTACTTCCATCCTCGAAATCGATTATACCCAGAATCTTCCTAATTCAATCGCAAATATGGATCCATCTTCAAGAACCAACCATAGCATAGGTACCACACTATGTTATTGCGGAGAGTGCTCTGTTTTGAAGATGTCGTGGAGTGATGATAATCCAGGAAGACGATTTTGGGGCACTTCAAGTGGGTGCTATTATTTTTATTGGTTTGATGATCCTGTGACTTCAAGACACAAATGTATTATCATGGGGTTGCATCGAAATATAAGGAGATGGAAAGCCGAGAACGATGCTTTTCATTTGGAGTTTCGGAATGTAAAAATTCAGTAGAATGAAATGATCAAGAGGGTCGGAGTTACGTTTTTTATTTGATATTCGAACCAAGGTTGAGGGGCTATGTCGGGATAAGAAGTTCTACCACATTGATTTCTATATGTTGTTGATGTTAGTTGTAATTTATTTTATTTTCTAATTGATGTTGCTTAATGTGGAAGTGTGGAAATGCGGTAGTGGTGAACTGTGGATGGTTTAGTTATTTTAGGGTACATGTATTGGACCAATGTGTCATCTAGGAATGTATTGATGTTTGTAATGCTTCTCTTCGGTAATACATGGGGTTTTTTTTTCTTTTTTTTGAAAGGTAATCAAATATTTTATTAATCAATACATAATACATCGAAAGTATAATGTCAAGTTAAATCGGAAAGTAACAACATGAAATGAGGCAGTCAATCTATATGCCTAGTAGCCGCTGCATTAAACCAAGTATACAATGTAAAATAAAACAATTCTCTAATCTGTTCTATTGTCTGTGATTGGCCTTCAAAACAACAATTGTTCCTTTCCTTCCACACACACCATACGATACAGCTCGGAATAAGGTCTTATACAAGTTTACTATCTTTGTCTCAAAACTTTTTCCTCCATGTCTTTAACATGTCCTCCATACGCCTCGGTAACAAACAATTCATGTGTTGCGATACCAGGATATCGTTCCACAGTAAACGAGCAACATCACAATGAAGGAATAAGTGATCACTCGTCTCCCCATTCTTCTTACACATATAACACCACTCTTTAATATAAAAACCCCTTATACGGAGGTTATCCACCGTTAACACCTGTCCTCTAACCACCGTCCATAGTAAAAATGCCATGCGTGGGGACAGTTTACACTTTCATACCATATTCCAAGGGAATGAACTCTCTGCAAAGCCCAATAAAGATCTAAAATAAGTGCGAATAGAAAAAATACTATCTCGTGTCGACCTCCATCTACTACAATCATCTTCTACTGCCCTGATATGTACCTCGTATAAAGATGTCAAAAGCAGCCCATAATCATCCAACTCTCAGTCCTACAAACCCCGACCAAAAATAATGTTCCAACTAGAGCTCCCCTTATGGATATCTAAGACATCATTCACCATGGCATACGGCTCCAGTGCAATTTGATACAAAGAAGAAAATCCCACCTTAAGCGGTTGATCTCCACACCAACAATCATCCTAAAAGCTGATGGTATTTCCATTCCCGACTACAAACGACAGCCGATCCCTAAAGTCGCTCCACCCTCGCCGGATATACCGCCACAAACTCACTCCATAAGAATCACGTCTCTCACCTGAGCACCATCCCCCTTCCATAACACCATATTTTGCCCATATAATATCTCTCCAAAAGCTCTCCCTCTCCACTCCGAATCGCCAGAACCATTTACCCAACAAGGCCTTATTAAACAGTACTAGACTTCTCACTCCGAGACCACCGAATCCAATAGGAGAACAAACTACACTCCAGTTAACTAAATGTAGTTTCCTCTCCTCCCTATAATACATGGGGGTTTTATTAGCCAATGGTGTTTGAGTAGTTTGGTCTGAAGTTAGATTGATTGATGGATATAAATTTATGTTAGATTGATCGCTGGTTTGAAGTTAGGTTTGTTGGCAGATTAATTACTATTTATCAATGTACTGATGTTAGATTGATTTCTGGTTTGAAGTTAGTTTATCAATGTACTTATTTTTCTGATTTGTTTAGACATTCAAAGGCTTGCACGCGTGCTCTTTCTGTCTTGATAAGATGCAAATGGGACAATGAAGAAAAACATTATTTCTGCTCATTATTGAAGGGGATTCCTTCACGTTTCCACGAAGAGACATAATACATGCTCTAACTTGGCATTATGCAACAACAATATCCAGAATCCCATATGAACTTCATCTATTCCCCTCATTTGGTGATTTTTTTCATCAACCATCCATAGGGCGCCAAGTTAGCACTTTCAATCTTCGTCATCCAATACTTGTAAGATCCCAAATGGCTTAACTTTGCTGTACCCTACAGACAATCCTTCAACTATCCTTGAAGTCACTCTTAAAGAAATTCTGATACATATGCTTAGCACAAGACCTATGTTCTACTTCCGAATACAAATAGGCCACAACATTAACTAGACCTTTTTGTCTATCACTCATGATAACGGATAGCCAATTCTCCACAGCTAGGTCTTCAGGCAACAACATCAAAAACTATCGACGCGTGTTTTCTCTTCCTCAATCATCTACTTCAGCTGCTACTAACAGTTTCCCACCATATTTTTCTTTCAAAAAATATCCATATATGCTAACAAAACGCCTACATCCCTGTTGAAAACTCCTCTTAAATGTCTCTATGCAAACATAAATACCCCTGAACACATTGTCCGCATGAGAAATGATCACAGAAGAACAAGTATTTGTTCTCCTCAGTTCCTTAACATAATGATCTAACATCGCAAATTGTTCTACATCATTCCTTTTATTAAAAATTTGGCATATTTCCTAGTATTCCAAGCAACCACCTTAGTAATATGCACTCCCAAATCCTTTCCCACAGTAGTTCTAAAATGTTTTGTTTTCCATTGAGGATTGGCTGTGAAGTCATCCAAGTAATAATTAACAAGCTACTTAGAGGTTACATACTTATTCCTACGTACCTTCAAGCAAGTGTACATAGGGTCATATGTTTTTACAAACCCAATGCACTCGATTCTTATCATAATGCTTGAAAATTGGTCTCAATTGAATACCACCACGTAATTTTTAACAACAGATTCCAATTCCTCTAAAGAACCAAACAATAACCATATTTCGAGATACAGATTTCTCTTTTCATTTTCAAGAAAATATTCAATAAAACTATATGTACCAATGTTCTCCTTTGAGTTCGAACCACTTCCAAATTTTAGCTCTTCAGAAGATGCATATGGCGAACTATCTAATATCTGGGCTTCTTCATCTTACAACGCACAATGCATATCCATTTCAATACCTTCGGTCGCATTACAATCAAATAGAATATCATCATCTTCATATACATTGTGGTTCGAGTCATTGAAATTTGGATCATCGTCTAATTGAACATCTGCAAATGTAACAACAAAATGGCTTATAGAGATCAATAATTTAGAATTTTTGGTACCAAAAACAAATGAAGCTTAGCATGAATACTTCAAGACCATTACCCTACACGTATCAGACTTCCATGATCAAAAAATAAAAACGAATAGCCAATGTCAGCCATGGTGATTGTTGCTCACTGTCGCCTGGTCGTTTATAGTTGTACTTGTTACAACTCCTTCCTCAAAGACAAGACTAGACTTTTATCATAGTTGAACCATGAAGATTCTAGGTATAATCGATTTTGAATTGAACGATTCCATGTTTCTGGACATGAGGTTGGGTTTCGCTCAACTAGAATTTCGATTTGGGATATTGGAATTCCGATTTAAGTGTTTAGATTTGGGAATTGTGTTCTTCGCGAGGATTTCCAGTAGAAGAATTGCGAATTCTTCGGCTTAGCATTGAGAGAGAGGAAATAGGTCACTTTTCCATGTTTGTAGCACTTTACTGATTTGGCATCCACTAAACTGCCATGTTTGCAATTTCATTAGCCGTGTCAGCATTTCTATCAATTTTTCGGAGTAGGAGGAAGTGTTGGTGGTGGTGTAAAAAGAGACCTTGGGGGTGATTTTGGTCATGGTGGAGGATTTAGAGTACGAGGAGGTGTTGATGGTAGCATATGAGGAGGCCTTAGGGAAGGTGG